GGCCTGGGGCACACATCATCAAATCGCCCAGTTACCCAGCACTCAGCCTGCGGGAGCCTGACCCTGATGATACCTACTCGCCACCGCAGGCTCGGGGCCTGGCACTGCACGGTTGCTGGAGCCCGCCCATCACGCCCCTTTGCACACCCACTCTGCAGGCTGCACACTCACAGAACCTGTCTCAAGCACCTGCTGTGTGCCCGACCCCTCTGAGCGTCACAAGGACCTGACACAGTTCATCCTATTTGGCAGGCGGAGAGACGGAGCCTCTAAGAGGCCAAGCGACCTGCCCCTGACCAGCCAGCCAGGGTACAGCAGGGGCAGGACTCAGACCCCAGCTCTCTGCCTCCAAAGCCAAGAGTTAGCAGCCACACGCACTGCCAGGAGTCAACGGCCGCGTGCCGTTTCTCCTCTGCCCTTTCCGAGGCCGATCGCCGACATCTAGGGTCCTCCCGGCAGGCCCTCTTGCCAGCGGGACCCCAGGCCAGCTGCACCCTCTGCTCAGGGCCAGCGGGGAGGACGGGAGGATGGGGAGGGGGTGTGAGCACAGAGCTACTGGCAGAGCGTCAGGGATCACCGCGTCCCTGAGACAGTCTGTGTGAGGGTGGCTGTCAATTATCCTTCAGCAGCAGCAAATATTAAAACCCAGGGCTGGCTCCTGGCTGGGCCTTGGTCCCCAGATGCCCATCTCAGCTGGGGGTGCAGTGGGTCCAGGCCCAGCCCTGCTTATCAGCCCAGCTTTATCTGGCCTGGGAGCTGCTGGTAAATCAGCCAGGGGCTTGGCTCCGGTCTTGTCAACACCAGGAGGCAGCCGGCCACGTGCCAGGAGGCCCAGGGATATTTCATTAAGTCAGACCCTGGTGTTGGAAATAAAACCCCCAATTAAACACTTCCCCTCCCGGAAACTGCAGCGGTGACTGTAATCAAGCTCACAGCCGCCCTTCCACGTGGCTGCGGCACGCGGGGCCGCGGAGAGCCGCTCATGAATCCATTAGCTCTGCTCTGGCAACGGCAGTGCCAGCAGGACGCCTGGCCCCTCTCACAGACCACAGGCCCAGCTGGGGTCCCCGAGGGGGGTCACAGGCCCTCCCCAAAGTGCTGACACGCAGGTCAGAGGCGGGGCTCGGGCCGAAGGCATCCGCGTGGGGTGAGGTGAGGGTGGAGCATCAATCACGGCCTGGGAAGAGGAGGGCAGGTCCTGAACCTCACAGACTCAAGTTCAGATCCCGGTTCTGCCTCCACCGGCCACGGGACCGGGAACAGACCTCCTGGGCCTCAGTTTCCTCATTTGTCAACAGGACCATAATGACTGCCCTGCCCAGGTCTGCGGGGTGAGGATTAGGAGATAACGTGTGTGAAGGGCCTAGTGCACAGGAAGCCCTCAACACATGGTCCCCATGGGACCCTGCTGCTGCGCTCCCCCACCCCACTTTCTCCAAAAAGCACCCCTTCACTGAGGCTGGGGCTGGGGCTCAGGACACCTCCTCAGCCAGAACTCCTCCAAAGCCAAGTTTGTTCCTGTCTCCCCTTGGCAACTGGGCCTGCCACGGGAGCTCCCCTGCTGCTACTCAAGGGAGGCACCTGTCAGCTTCCAGACCTGTGAGTGGTAGGCCACTTTAAACGCGTTTTATGACTCCCGTGTAATTAGAACTGAGCCAACAAGCAGGTAGATATCGGGAGGGGCTACAGCTAACGAGACCAGATGATGGGTAATAAGCAGATCGCTGTGTGTGGGTGAGCGGCCCTCCTTCCCCTTCTTCCTCTGCCTGTTCGTCCAGGCCCGATGTCACCTCTCTCTGAAAGCCACACGTGGGCGGGAGAGGTGGCTCTGACCTCCCTCAGCACACTTCCCGGCTGCTGAGCTGCCCTCTTCAGCCCCGTGGTGAGGGGTCACCCCTACTGCCCAGTGCCCACACTCACACACCCCTCAGTGGGACTCTCGCTGGCCGCCCCAGCTCCTGACACAGACCTAGCTGTTTTGAATGTAGCTCCTTCTCTGGTCATTCATTCCTCAGCCTGCTCTGCCCCCAGGAGGCTGACCCCTGTGGACAGCATCACCTGGGCTCTCTGACCTCCACTGGGTTTGACCAGGGGACGTGTCGGCAGAAGGCAGGAGGGCGGGAGGGGGAGAGGCTGGGGCTTTCCTCCCTGGCTCCCTTCCTGCCTTGATTTGGAGGGTCAGCTGGTGGCTTCAGGCTGGCCTCTCTGTCACCACCACCTCCGGCCGTCATGGGGGCCCCAGAGCCCCGTTCCTGCCCCACTCGGGTCCAGGGGTGCTAAGCTTCCCTCAGCTGTAGTCCGTGGTGCTTCATGTACCTGCCGGCCCCAGCTCTGCCCAGCCTTTGTAAGTGACCCACCACTAAACCCTTCCACATCCCAGCTGAGTGTGTGTTCTGCCAGGATCCCGCCTGAGACAAGCCTTCCTTCTGCCCACCCCAGCCCGTACTCACTGGCCACTCCCTTAATTAGCCCAAGAAAGATCCCAAACTGCCCCCTTCCTGCTCCCACATGCCCTGAGTGGGGGTGAGGGAAGCCCCGGTGCCAGCCCCTGCCCAGGGGGCGGCCAGGAGAGACCAGAGGCAGCAATTCTGCTGCGGGAGCCGGGTGGGTGTCTCTTCGGATCCCTACCTCAGGGAAAGGGGCAGGGGAGGCAGCGTGGGTGAGTCTGAGTGTCAAAAAGAGGCATGAATTAGAGCGGGAGTCGGTGGGGGGTGGGGGGGGTGGCGGGGGCTGGCAGGGGCCTGGGCTGTGCCGTTATCTCTGTGTAGAAAGCAATAAAACTGTGTTCGCTCATAAACGGGCACCACCAGGACCTATTTCCTGCTCAAATAAAATTAAAGGTGATGGATGGAGCCAGTGGCAGCGGGGGCGCGGGGGGCAACTTGTGCTGAGTGATGGGCCCTGTCCGGCGCCTGGCTCCGGGGGGTCTAGGGCGCAGCCCAGGCTGGTCGGTACGCAGGCTCCCAAACCTCTGGGAGGCAGGGGACGGGGAGGTATTCCAGGAGGTGGGGGAGGTAAATAGGGTGAGAAAACAACTAACAGCAGCCGTTTTTCAAGAACCTGCAATCCTCCCAACACCCCCATCACCTGGCTCCATCCCATGTCCCAGGTGAGCCAGCTGAGGCACAGGGAGGTCTGAGGATTCCCCCAGCTCACACGGCCGCTCAGAACAGCAGCCAGCACAACCACTGGATTGTAAGACTCGGCTCTTCCATCTCTGGAAAGAAGGCAGGCAGCTCACTGCTCTCCCTCAAGCTGTGCCCAGCCAGCAGACGCCCCCGCCACTCACCTGTCTCCATGCCCAGGAATACACATGTGCATACACACACACACACACACACACACACGCTCATGCTCACACACTCAGGGAAGCTGGGATAGCAATTAAGCCAGACTCCTGACTGAGTCCTGGGTCTTCTATTTACAAGCTGTGTGAGCTTGGGAAAGTCACTCAGCATCTCTGTGCCTCGGTTTGGGCCTCTGTCAAATGGGAAGACAATCAGAGTAGTGGCCTCATAGAGTTGTTGTGAGGATGACATGAGTTTAGGTGTGTAAAGTGCTTACAACGGGCCACCAGGTGCTATGTGAAGGGCCCTGTTGTAGCCAGGCTCGCCCTGTGCACCTCAGGGAGGTGGTGTCCCGGGGGTGGAGAAGGGGAGCAGCTGTAGGATTCCTCCTGCGGCTTCATAACAGTCCTGAGTGCTGAGGCGAGGCTCATGCCTGGCCCTGCCAGGTGAGCTGATGTTCAGCTAAAGGGCGCCTCCTCCAGGAAGGCTGCTGGCAGGGCCTCATTTTCACACTTGCTTCTGGGCTGGTTTCCACTTGGTCTCAGGTCCCCTTGGGCACAGTGATTACTAGTAATATTACAGGCTGGGCTCAAATCCTGGCTCTGCTGTTTACCACATCCGTTGGAGCAAGTAGCTTAAACTTTCTGGGGCCTCAGTTTCCTCATCTTTACAAGAATCATAACCAGGGGGTCGTAGTAAAGATTAAATGAACACCCTGCTTTCAGGCAATACTTGGCACATAGTAGGCACTCAATAAATATCAGCTCTGACTATAATCATTGTTATGAGAGAGTGTCTTTTCTCCCCTGATTGGGACTGAGCTCCTTGAGGTAGGGTGCGTGTCTTTGTTAACCTCCCTGACACCTGAGATAGATGGGTAGTGTGGGGGTGCATTAACTACCCCTCCAGTCAGAGACCCCCATGCAGCCTCTGTAGGTCTCTGTATTCCAGTGACCCCTCACTTATCTGGTCACACCTTTCCCCATGCAGGGTGTCCCCTGCAGGCAGGAGTGAGCTGGGGGGCCTTAGGGACAGCTCCCCAATGCCCTCACCACTACTCCCACTAGGTCCATCTGCCTGGTGAAGCCCTGAAGAGTTAGGAGGTAGCTACATGCCACCACCAGGTACAGGGCACCTACCAACACCCAGCACACATACATGCATACATACATGCATACATACATCAGAGCAATGGCACCTCTAGGTATTGTCCCTCTGTGAAACCCCAGCACTGTTCCCACCTGGCTCCTTTCCTAACTACTGGATGAAGAGCCCACATTTCTCCTTAAGTCAGACCCCACCCTTCCCCTACCCCACCTACCAGCACAGCCTCAGGCCCAGTTACGCCCAATGTCCCCCACTGCCCCTCACCCCAAGGAAAGGCTGGCAGGATACCCAGAAGGAGGCCTAAAGACCTTCTGGGGTGAGGAAGGCTGTGTCCCAGTGGAGAGGAAGCAGCGTGCACCCCACCCCAACTGCACCCCAGTCTCCTGGACGCCGGAGGGTGGTCCACACCAGGGGAGGGGACTCACCGCTGTTGGCCCAGGGCAGGTACCAGGGGCAGCTGACATTCACGAAGGAGCCGGGTGGCCCGTCTGGCCAGCAGGCATAGTCATCAAAGGTCCGGTTGCAGAACAGGTCTGGGTGCAGAGAGAACAGTCCTGAGTCCCGGCCTGTCCGAGGCACTTCCCCACCACGGGGCTGGTGGGGGCAGGACCCCGCGCTCTGCGAACCTCCACTGAGCACCTACTGTTTGCCAGGCAAGCAGACTTGGCCACTTACCAGCGGCACTTGGAGCAAGTTGCTTAATGTCTGTCTTCCCTCATCTGTAAGATGGGGGTAATCCTGGTTCCACGGGGCTTTGTGGGGACACATAGTGCATGGCATGGAGATGACGAAGCACAGTAAGTGCTCAATAAACAGTCTCCATAGGACTATTCTTATACATTGCATTCGAGGGGGGAATGGTAGCTCACATGGCTGTTCTCACTGTCCTAAGGTTGCTGCGTTGTGATTGCAGGGTCAGGATTTGAACCCAGGCCTATTGGTCTCCTAACTCCCCTCCCCCCCAAACATTCATTGTTATAAATATGCTGGTGGGCCTACCGTCCCTGCACAGGCTGGGGAGTGCTGAGGACACAGAATGGAAAGGCCTGAGGGGCCCAAGCCGGGGACAAGGGGCATAGACATCAACAAGACAACACCCAAAGCACAGGGCAGATATGGCGGCCCAGAGGGGAAGGATGCCCTCCTGAGGCACGAGGCACGGGGGTGAGGGGGAGGGGCCACCTGGACTCACCTGTGGCTGGGGGTGGAGCCTCCGTCAGAAAGCGCTGGCACTGGTGGCGATATTCGCGCCATTTCTGCACTGTCTCCGAGAGGGACACGGTGGCACCCTGGGGGGAAGGCAGAAATGGGGACCCTCTGGTTCCAGACCCACT